GTCTTAAACAAGTGAATACATGGTAATCTGTTATGCACAAATATAAACTGATAAGTACATCTGTAAACACTGTCTTAATGTGATCCTCTGAGAATAATTAGTTGAAATTATATTACTGTGTGTCTGTTAGGTTGTTTTGCTATATCTTAAAAAAGAAAGACTCATAGCCCATTTGGGCTGCTATAGCAAAGCGCTATAGACTAAGTGGCTTATAAATAACAGAAATTTATTTCTCACTGTTCTGGATGCTGGAACTCTGATATCAGAGTGCTAGCATTGTTGGGTTCTGGAGAGGCCGCTCTACCAGGTCGCAGACTGCCATCTACTCACTGTATCTTCACGTGGTGGAAAGACAATGAGAGAGTTCTCTGGGCTCTCTTTTACTAGTTCACTAATTTTATTCTTGAGAACTCTACCCTCATAACTTAATCACCTCCCAAGGGTCCCACCTCCGAATATTACCACGTTGGAGGTTAAAATTTCAACATATGAATTTGATAGGCTGGGTGGACACGAACATTCAATCCATAACAGAAAGCAATAATCATTTATTGAACTTTCTATTGTGGCGGTTTTCATTTTGCAAATACTCTCCTAAGAAGCATTTTTTCACTTCTGCTCACTTTGCAAGTATTCTGCAGGATTGCATGAAGTGAAGAAGATGTTAAGGCCAGAAAATGTAAGGCATTGCTCCAGACCTTGATGCCACATCTTGTCCTCACTTGTCACCATCTCCTAATCCTGCAGGAAAGATCAGCCACCTCCACAAGCTAATCAATATAGTCACTTTTTCTGTGTGAAAAATAAAAGGCTGTGCCAACAAATTACTATCTCTCAGCTGCAGGTGATAAGAAAGCTTCTTTGCCTTGGCATTTGCTTATCATTGGCCAATAGGAACTGACATTTCATTACATACTAGACTATCCAACATTCTACTCCCTCCCATTTCCCACCCCATCACCTGTTGTCTAATTACTTTTAAATTCTACGTCTTTAAAATGCAGGCTTAAGAATTAATCTCTCAGATAATTACAGTCACTACATTTGATTAAAAATATCAGAAAAGACTGGGGAAAAAATGACTCTTCATTAGGGTGGAACAACATCTATCATAAATTCCGAATCTTGGTAATTTAACATTAACAAGAATTTTCTATGGCTTGTCTCACAATTTGGAGGAGGAGACACGAGCAATGTTTTCAGCAACCCAGTTTTCAGCATCCCGGTCCCCATCCATACTACCATCTGCTAGGGCCTCAGAGCCCTCCTCCGTATCTTCTGTAATTACTAAGGCTCTGAGGGAAAAATATGTCATAAATAAGGTAGAGAAAGAAGTCCGCTTGTAACTTCTTTGGCCTAGAAGTGATGCACATCACTTCCATTTGCATTCTGCTGGCAAGAAACAATTACATAGTCACATCTAAATACAAAGGAGCTGAGAATTCTAACTTGGCCCTGTGCCCAGGAGGAAGTGAACATGGAAATTACTGAGTCCTAGCTCTGTATCCCCTACAACAGAACAAGATGAAATCTATGAATGATCCATAAATTTTGGTTATCACTGTTAGTGATTCGCCTTTATCATGAATTTAGAAATTATTACTGTTGCATAACAAAGCTTAGCACCATAAAGCAATTGTTTTATTAAGCTTTTGGATTTTGTGGGCCGCAAATTCAAAAAAAGGCACAGAGGAGATAGTTTGTTTCTGCTCTGTGATGTGTGGTGTCTTGGCAGGGGATGATTCAACAGCAAAGGGCTGGAATCACGTAGAGGAATCTTTATTCACAGGGCTGGCAGCTGATGTTGGCCATCAGTTAAAACTCCAAGTATAGCTATTTACCCAATGCATGACATTCAGGTGCTTGGACTTTTTCACCATGGAGTAGCCTCAGAGAGTCAAATTTCTCACATGGAAGCCCAGAGTTTCAAAAACAAATGCCCCAGTGGACAGGCTATGTGTCCTTTTATGACCCATCTTCAGCCACTTCTGCTGTGCTCTACTGGTCTAAGAATTCCTAAGTCCACCCTAATTCAAAGAGAAGAGACATAGACCCAAATCCTAATGGGAAGTTGGTTACCAAGGTCACATTGCAGAGGGGTATGTGCAATGGGAGATACTGTGATGTCTAATTTTGGAAAATGTAATCTCCCACATACATTATCTTAGAATCACTGAATGTCAGTGTTTGAAAGGACTTAGTACTTTATAGAACAAGAGTCAGCAAACAATAGCCCACTGCCAGTTTTTGTAAACAAAGTTTAACTGAAATACAGCCATGCCTATTTGTTAGCAAATGTGAGTCATTGCAAAAGATACCATATGACGTACAAAGGCAAAAGTTTTTATTATCTGGCCCTTTACAGAAAGAGTTTTCATCATCCGTAGATAGAATATCAATTAAACATATGGGCCGTGAAGAAAGTACTAGGTTTTTAAACCTCAGTTCTGAAAGTGGCCAGTTATATGGCTTTGAACAAGCTGCTCAACTTCTCTAGGCTGCCATTTTCCCACCTTCATAATTGGGGAAACAGTAAAGCCTGTCATTGAATTGTGAGCATTACATGAAATAGTCAACGAAAAGGACCATAATAAGCATTCATAAATGCTAACTTGTGCTGTAGAATTACCTTAAAGTATCAGCTAGATCAAGTGTCTATTCAAGTCATATGCTCCAGGGTCATCTGCTGCAGATTTCAACTTATCTACTGATACAGGAAGTCCATTCTATCTTTAACCGTTTTATTAGAAATTTCTTCCCCCAGGTTGAAATCTGCCCCCTTATAGCTATATGCAATTAACCCTTGTCGTATCTCCTAAAGGCTCTACAAAACATCTCTTCCAAATATTATGTTCTTTGAAAAGGATATCTCTGAATTTATCTTATCAGAGCTACACATCTTTAGTTCTTTCAATTGCCTCTCCTAAGACTGAGTTTGCATCACTTTTCCACTTTAAAATTCCCCTTAGAAGGAAATATAAAGCATTTATCCAGAAATTAGCAAAAGACTTCAGGCCTGCAATAGATCTAGATCGTTGGTTCCTAAATTCTCCATAGTACATTAATGATGTGTGTTTTGTGCTACTCAGTCTTTTTCCACCCTTCCTGCTGTAGAAGAGTTGATATCTTAGGATCCCGGGGTGGGTGCTTCTTGTTGCCTTTTTGTGTTCAATCTTACATAGCTCCAGCCTGTGGAAATCTTTCCAGATGTTGATAATGTAATTTAGACTGTCGACTACCCTTGCCAGCTTTATATCACACACACACACATATTTCAGAAGGCTCAATCCAAATCACTGGTAAATATTCCATCATGTTGAAATTAACACTATGAGTAATCCTGAACGCAATTCCAGCAACTGAATGTTACTTTAATAGTTGTATTTCTTCCTTCTTGGATTTCCATTGATCTTAATCACTATTTGTTCAATCATTCTCACTTGGGATGTCATTCCTCTTAGTGAAAGACGTTGGAAGCAAATATAAAGGAAAACATAAGCATTTGTGTTTCTCTCTTTCAATATTACACTTTAAATCAAGATATGTGTCTGTATTACTCAGGGGTCTCCAGAGAAACAAAACCAAGGGGAGAAAGAGATTGATTTTAAGGAATTGGCTCACATGATTGTGGAAGCTTGGTGAGTCCACAATCTTCAGGGCAGGTGGGCAAGATGGAGACCCAGGGATTTTGCTCACAGAATTCCTTCTTGCTCAGCGGAGGTCAGTCTTTGTTCTATTAACACCTTCATCTAATTGGATGAGGCCCATCCACATTATGGAAGGTAATTCACTTTAATCAAAGTCCATTGATTTCCAATGTTAATCGAATGCAAAAAACACCTTCACAGAAAGATCCAGAATAGTGTTTGACCAAATATCTGGGTGCCATGGTCCAGCCAAATTAAGTCGTAAAATTAAACATCAGAGTATCTCTCTTTATAATCTTTTTTCTTGCAATAGAAATAGCTAAGACTATAGCCTATATGAAATCTGGATTCATGTTTTGGTAATTAGTTATCTTATAATAGACGGTCTGTTGTATAAAACCACAATTAAGTGTGTGTCTGTCTGAGAAGGTAGTCATGGTAAAGTATAACAATGACTTTTGTTACTAAATACAAAAGTACAGCATCTTAACTGATTATTATCTGTACCTAAGAAAAAGATTGGTAGGGGGTGGGGATTGGGAAGAAGTGTGAATGCAACTCTGATTTTTAAGGTTAGCATCGCTGCAAGTTTCAGAATACAACTTTAAAGGTATGGATATGTTTATGTCCTTTAAAGCATTCACCTATTTTTAAAATTTCACTTTTTGTATTTTAAATTTTTAAATTGATGTTTTAATTTCAAATGTTATTTCTTCACATGATTTTACAAGATTATTGAAACAAATGTCTATATAAATAAGATGTATAAGCATGAAATGCTGGTTCAAAACAATGTTTGTAACAAAATGATACTAGAATTTTTTTAAGCCAGCATGTTATCTGTTGAAACAAGATTTTATTCTACTAGTATTTTAGTTTTTGTTTGGTTTTGTTGAGACAGGGTCTTGCTCTGCTGCCCTGGTTGGAGTGCAGTGGTATAAACACAGCTCACTGCAGCAAGCCATCCTCCCACCTCAGCCTCCCAAGTAGCTGGGACTACAGGCACACACCACCACCCAGCTGATTTTTGTATTTTTTGTACAGATGAGATTTTGTCATGTTGCCCAGGCTGGTCGTGAACTCCTGGGCTCAAGCAATCCTCCCTCCTGGGCCTCCCAAACTACTGAGATTACAGGCATGAGCCATTGCACTCAGCTGTATTTCGGTTCTAAACTTTTATGAATCTAGGTTTTTAAAAAATGTGGTTTTATTTTTTGGCTAGCCATTTATAGTAAGTAGAAATTATTGATTTAAAGACTTTTAGAGATGAAAAGATGGTTTATAAGTCCTACTAATAATTCTTTTCTTGTGTGAAATTCACCGTTATCTTTTGTTCTGTTTTTCCCTTTTCAGGTTTGGATGTGTGGAGGAGAAATGTTTGATGTTCCATGTTCTAGAGTTGGTCATATCTACAGGAAGTATGTTCCATACAAAGTTCCATCTGGCACCAGCCTGGCAAGAGTGAGTAACTCAGCATCAGAACAGACTGGGTTCGATATAGCTTTCTGTAAACAGACTAGCCTCACCCATGGTATATGTAATCTCCGTAAGCAAAGTAACCAGCCTCACCCGTGGCATGTGTAATTTAAGACACAGTCTGAAAGAAGCTCTCCAGTGTAGAGAGAGCTCCTGTGTTTCTCACAGTCTTATTTCCATTGCTTAAAAAAGTATTAACTATTATGCTATTTCCTGTTACAATTGTTTCAAAGCATTTTCACGTGCATTATATTCAATCTTTACCATTGCCTTCCGAGGTCTGTGTTCTTATCTTTATTTCACAGATGGGAAAATGAAGTCTGAACTAGGTGGCTGTTCATTCTCACATGAATGCCAAATAGCAGAGTAGGTCCGCGGACCTGGAGCAGCCAGCTCCCTCCACCCAAGTGGAGTGTAAAGGATGTGTAATAAGTCAGATGGAGAAAGGGGTAAATGGGAGATGGGAAAAGCTAGATACCCAAACTGTGCCTTCTTCTCTTTAATAACTAGGGCCAGCCTCAAATTCTACCCCATCCTCAACATTTCAAGGTTGGCTCAGTCTAAGATTTTTTTTCCAATATTGTTTTGAATTAAACCTTTCTTGTAAACCAGGTGCAAAGATGCTTTTCTCTTCTGCCCTTTGAAACATTTTTACGCATTTTTAGGAGAATGGACTCACAATACCATCTCCAAACAACACTGACAATTTCTCTGGTTTCCATATTATTTTCTTCAGGGCTGGGTCAGTTTTCATCACCACAATATGTACCTGCTACTGCTCAGAATCCAAATCTAGAAAAGGAAGATTTTACCACATCTCTTTGCACACTGCTACCCTAGAAATCAACTGCTGAATTATTCATTTTGGTTATTTTACAAATAAGGCTACAATATATAACTATTTGGATCTTTTATATAAGGTTCACATAATGAACTTTTGTAAAAATAAATAAACAAATTCACCAGGAATCATTAGCATATCAGTAACACAAAGGTAGAGCTTTGGTCTCTGTTAGTTACTGCTCTACTCCCAGGACCTAAAACAGGGCTTAGGGAACACTCAGATATTTGCTGAAAGAATGAACTAATCAGGAAATCTAAGAGAGGAAAATGCTTCAGATTTGAGTTGTTACTAAAAAAATACTTTGTTATGAGTATAACAAAATTTTCTTTTATAGTAAATCTTTGTCAACTCTCCATTTTTCTTTAGTCACATCCATATTCCCTAACAGCAACTAGATCTCCTAGTAATAACATTACATTACACACACCTTGAAGAGAAATACAGGCTAAGTATCCCTTATCCAAAATGCTTGGGACCAGGAATGTTTCAGATCTTCAGATTTTTTTTCCAGATTTTGGGATATTCACATATACATAATGAGATGTCTTGGGGATGAAACCCAAGTCTAAACACAAAATTTATTTATGTTTCATATACAACTTATATATGTGGCCTGAGAGTAATTTTATATAATATTTTTAATAATTTTGTGCATGAAACCACATTTGTGTTAGTTTGATGTTCTTATATGTGTGGAATTTTCTACTTGTCACATCATGTTAGCACTCAAAGAATTTTGGATTGTGGAGCATTTTGGATTTTGTATTTTCAGATTAGGGATGTTCAACCTGTCATGTTCTTCCTTCCCTAACTAAATTAAAAATTTAATTTGATGCTAACAACATAGTACTCTAAGTATCTGTAGAAATATACTACTTGAAATGAAAAAGTCACAAAATCATAAAGTAATTAAACAACTACATCTTGGGTAAGGAAATATGGTTTGATTTAGTCATAAGACTTAAGACACATCAATCAGAAAACAAGATTTCACAGGCAAGTAAATGATTGAACAATTTAGAACACATGTCACCAATCAGCCAAGTAGATATAATAAATCGTAGCAGTTTAAAATATCATAAAGATAACTATAGTCTGTCATGTATCCACTTTTACTCACTCATATGCTCCCCTGCTTGTGCTCTGAAAAGAACCATTCACTTGTAAGAAAATGGGTGTGTGTGTGCTTGGTTCATAGTCCAAAGTAGAGTGTAAAAGCTTGCAGCGGGCGGAAAATGTTGTGCTGATCCAAAAGGACCTATTTTCAAAAAATAAAACTGTTCATATAGTTTCAAGAAAGAAATAAAGCACTTTTTCAAGGACTGTCAAATGTAGAGAAACTGGGGTTGGCACATAAAACTTCCAAGAAAAAGTGAATATTTATTCAAATGAAAAAAGTCCATAATTCTGAATTTTAATCTTTCCCACTCAAATTTTACTTCAGGGTTCATTTTTATTTTTTTCTAAACTGCTAGAGCAATCAGAAAGTCATAAATATTGAAGCTTGCCTGTCACTCTGAGGAAGATTTTATGTTTTTTTTTTAAGTTTAAAAAAAGTACATTAAAATGAAAACAATTCTGATATTTTGTGAGAGCACCTCAACTACCTTGCTACACACTACATTATTACATATCATCAAAAATGATGAGAGACTTTATGTATGCTTCAAATGCAGGGTCACGCCTACTCGATTGGTATTTTTATCTTTCAGCCTCATCAGGAAATGGAGATGAAGGTGGAGACTTTACTCCAAAGGCTTGTTTTCTTACTCTACAAAACTCAAAATTCAAAAATGTGCACTTTCGCATTGATGATTCCAATTCGTGGTTCCAAAAGACTCCTCAATTCTATAAACACACAGAGAGACACACAAATGTGTGAACGGCCTTAAACAGCATACTGTTGGTGTATAACATAGAAATACATTTTAAAAATTAGTTACTTAGTACCTTCTATTTTCCCACCATTAGAATCTGGTTGAAAGAGACAAGATATCCATCTATGAAACTGTTAGATGACAGTACAAGACAAGCAATTGCTTAAATGTATCATAAAGATATGTATAGGTATAGGGAAGAGGAGGAAGTAGCACTGTGGCTGTGACCTTCTTCGGTCCTCTCAAATTACAGGACTTGAAAGAGAACCTTCAAGAATATGTCCACTGAATTAGCAAGTTTCATATAACAGTGGTTCCCAAACTCAGGGTGAATGACGAGAGCCAATTCCTAGCCAACATTTCACCCAGCCTCGTGAACTAAGAAAAACAATAATCCCAAAACTAAACCTGTTCAACTTAATAACATCTTTTTTATACACAAACTGTAAGGATTTTTTTTTTCATTTTTTTATGACAGAGTGCAAGACAGTAAATTTTTGTTAGTGCCCTTATTTGGCAAAAACAAAAATTAGCATCACTACGTCATTTCCCACAAAATGTAAAAAGTTAGGACACCGAAACTTACACTTCAGCTTCATCTGGAAATCAGAGTATTCACTTGTCATTAATAAGCCTAAACAGTGTTACTGAGTCAGCTGGGGGCTAATGTCAGTACACGGGGACACTGTTGTGGGGTCTTGTCACCAGGAACAAGCAGCAAGTCCCTGAGGGAAGGGGTGCCCATGTCTAGAGTTGCAGAGAGACTAGAAAGACACCAGGGCTGTGGTGACAGTCATTCCTTTTTCATTCCTTCTTGCTCACAGAAGTGTGAGCAGCTCCTCAGCAAAGGTCCACTGAGTGACGCTTTGCATAGCCAGAGGAGGCTGAGTGGCAAATAGGTGAGAGAATCTCAAAGAAGAGATTCTTCTCTTCATTCTGACAGGTTTCGATGTGAGCCAAGCACTCTGCTGAAGGAGCCGTTATTACTGGCATGTGTGGGGACAGTTCACAAATCCCTCTGTGAATGGCAGTGTGTTTGGGGACAGTCAAAGCCACTGGATCTGTGACAGGTGGCTGTGATAGCTGGGACATGTCAGAGGTGGAAAGCAGTCACCCCATGGCTAAGTATACCACCTGATTGCCGCACACCAGTGGTCTTCATGGGCACAACTTGGCCCATGAGAGTTTCCCCGGAGTGTCACTACCTGTAGCGCTGCCCTGCAGAGTGTGAGTGGGGCAGTCCTCCAAGTGCAGACAGCCACCCTCACCAATAGGAGACAAGGTTAGAACCAAACCTTACCCCAAGTCTATAAGAAACACCGGAGAGGCTGGGTGCAGTGGCTCACGCCTGAAATCCCAGTACTTTGGGAGGCCGAGGCAGGTGGATCACAAAGTCAGGAGACGGAGACCATCCTGGCTAACATGGTGAAACTCCATCTCTACTAAAAGTACAAAAAATCAGCCAGGTGTGGTGGCATGAGCCTGTAGTCCCAGCTACTTAGGAGGCTGAGGCAAGAGAATTGCTTGAATCCAGGAGTTGGAGATTGCAGTGAACCAAGGTTGCATCACTGCATGACAGAGCTAGACTCCATCTCAAAAAAAAAAAAAAAAAAAAACAAATAGAAAACAGAAACACCAGAGAATGCAAATCAGGGGATTGTATACTTCTGTATTTCACCTCTGACATAGTATCAGTAATTTTTTCATTCTAAAATTTCATCTTGCATTTTATGGGAACCATTCAAGAACCTGGGAGACTTTACATTTTTTTCTAGTTTCAGGATAGGAGCTAAAACAGAAGTCAAACCTCATAAAAGTCAGATTGCACAGACTGCTTCCCAGGTCCTGAAAATGTTAACTTAGAGTAAAAGGGTTAGAGGTTAAATGGTAAAGGAGTAGAGCTGGAACTATGAACTGAGGTCTGTCTGTTCAATGTTCGTGCTCTTCACCATAGCGTCCCTTCTAGAGTGCTTGAGACAAACTGGAGCAGCCTGGGCATCTCTGGCAGGGCATCAGTTTAGCAAAGTACCAAGCAGACATGAGCAGGCAGAGAGTTACAGAGGGTGTGCATGGGGCCAGTGGAGCGAGAGTATGCATGGGCACTGCAGCCAGCCTTGGAGGACCCCGGATGCAGATTGCAGTGTTAACCTTCACTCCCTGACTGTAGGATCTTGGCCAGGAAGTGTTAGGATAAAAATAGAAGAGGTAAAATAGAAAGATCAACCAACAAATAATTATTAAAATGGAGAAGGCTAAAGAAAGTC